TCAATGTAGGAATCACCACTCCCAGAGAGGCTGAACACTGCCAGTCTCTCCCTGCTCCTCTTGAGAAAGGACACATGCTCTCCAGCTTTCTCTAGTCCTCACTACCACCCCCTAGTGTTCAATGCCTGGTCCCTTTCCTTCACCGACATGAACTATGCGATTTCTGTGTGTGAGCTTGCCACTTCTCTGATAGGAAAGTTCTCTTCTTCTCTCCCAGGAGATATTGAAATCACTCCTTAAAACAATGTTATCAAATAGCAAAGGAAGAGCAAGCTCAGGACAGAGAGGGTGGTAAGACAAGCCTCTTAGAGATACTGCTCAAAACTTAACATGCTTTGTCACTTTAAACATTAGCATTATTCAGCCGGCACCGGTGGCTCACACCTGTCATCCTAGCTACTCAGAAGGCTGAGATCTGAGGATCTCGGTTCAAAGCCAGCTGGGGCAGGAAAGTCCATGAGACTCTTATCTCCAATAAACCACTAGAAAACTGGAAGTGGCGCCGTGGCTCAAGCGGTAGAGCGCTTGCCTTGAGGGGAAGAGCGCAGGGATAGCGCCCAAGCCCAGAGTTCAAGCCCCATGACCACCCCCACCCCCCAAAAATGATCGCTTTTTAGAAATTTTTCTTCAGATAATTCTTTTTCACTGAATTTGAAAAAAAATACACGTGGAACAGATACAAGCAAATATTGATCCAAAGACTTTTGAGTGATAGACTGTGAAACAAATCAGACCTGCCTTTGTAAGCAAAGTTCCCTGCTTCACCTGTCTATCCTCTGGGTTAGGTGTGATCCGTGGTTGCTTTGTACGGCTGCAGGGAGCAGATGCGAATGAGAACTGTGGTGGCCACAGCTGAAAACATGTGCAATGAAGCTTTGAGGGGGAGGGAAACAATCCCATAATCTCTTTCAAATGAAGACTTCCTCTGCTGGGAGCTGGTGGCTCACGCCTGTGATCTTAGCTACTCAGGAGGCTGAGAGCTGAGGATCATGGTTTGAAGCCAGCCTGGGAAGAAAAGTCCATGAGATTCTATCTCCAACTGACCACCAAAAAGCCAGAAGTGGAGCTGTAGCTCAAGTGGTAGGACACCAACCTTGAGTGAAAAAACCAAGTGAGAGCAAGTGGCCTTGAGATCAAGCCCCATTACCAACACACACACACACACACACACACACACACACACACACACACCCACACACACACACACACACACACACACACACACACCCCAGAATAAATAAGCAAAAAAATGCACATTGCCTGCAATTCCAAGGAAGCTCTTCTGTGGCTTTGGGAAAATGTAGACTCGGCCATTTGGCTAAAGGTGGCAGAGAAGCTACTCAGGAGGCTGAGATCTGAAGATCGCAGTTCAAAACAAGCCCAGGCTAAAAATTCCGAGAGACTCCGATCTCCATGTAATCACTCAAAGAGTCTGGAAGTTGAGTTGTGTGTGACTCACGTGATAGAGCGCTAGCCTTGAGCAAAAGAAACTTAGAGAAAGACCTTGAGTTCAAGCCCCAAGGCTGGAGAGGCTTGGATTGATGGGGTCCCACGGGCGATCATTAATGCAGCCATCAGGAGACTCAAGTTAGCCTGCTCTCTAACATCCTTGGATGAATGCTAGAAAGACCTTTTTTTGGGGGGGGGGGAGGTCTCCTCAGATGTGCCACTGTGAACTCTGTGTCACCTGAGTTTTGCTTCCACCAGCCCTTCTTGTCACAAGAAAGGAAATTCCATTCATCTACATCACTTCCTGCACTAAGGGGCTATGGTCCGCTCCACTCCACAGTGATGGAGGGACTGAGCTGAGCAAACTGATCTGATTCCAAAAGCCACTTCTGGAAGGCTGTGGGTGTGCTCTGATGTCCAAAGGAGGCTTTTCTTGTTTCTTTTTCTTCTTTTCTTTTCTTTTTTTTTTTTTGTCGTTCATCGGCCTTGTACTCTGGGCCTGGGCACTGTCCCTCAGCTCTTTAGCTCAAGGCTAGCGCTCTACCACTTGAGCCACAGAGCCACTTCCAATTTTCTGGTGGTTAGTTGGAGATAAGGGTCTCACGGACTTTCATGCCCAGGCTGGCTTTGAACCCAGATCCTCAGATCTCAGCCTCCTGAGTAGCTAGGATTAAAGGCGTGAGCCTCTGGCACCTGGCTCAAAGGAGTTTTTCTTCTCCCCTTTTCTCAGAATCCAGAATCTGACTCCACTGGCAGAAACCCATTTCTACAACCTGCCAGGATCTGGAATCTGGTCCCTCTTCAAGCCTTTTAAACACTGGGCCCTGTTCTCTTTCTACCTGGATTTTCAGAGTCTGGACAAATAAAGATTTGGCACAATGGTGAGAATACAGTTCTGGCCACAGTTCCTGGTGCAGAGGAAGAACCACACAAACTTGAAAATCAAGTCTAAGTCCATCATTTCTCTTTGGAGACCATCACACACAATGGTCACACACATAATGACTACATGGGCACTGTCTCCAAACAGGCCTTCCTGTCTCCATTCCTGTTTCTCCTGTATAATCTGCACACAGAGGCCACTAACCTCCCCCTGAGCTGAATTCTGACATCGGTTTTTCATCTCAAGAAGAATCAACCTCATCCAAGCTGGGCATTGGTGGCTCACACGTGTAATCCTCAAGAGGCTGAAATCTGAGGATTGTGGTTTGAAGCCAACCTGGGTAGACAACTCCAAGAGATTGGTATCCCCAGTTACCCTGAGTTCATGCCTAGTACTGCCACAACACAAAACCTCATGCTTCTCTGAGTGTCACTCACTTGACCCCATTCTTTCCTCCCCCGCCCCTCTCTTCAAGGCTTTCTTATGCCTTCAAATACATCCCTGCACCTGGCATCTTTAGATCTGCAGCTCCTGCAGCCTGCTATGTTCTTCCATTGGTCTCACACTACACTGCCCCCTCCCTGACTCTCGCAACTAACTTAGTCATGCATTTGTTTCTGGAATCTTCTCAAGCTCCTCCACTTCCATATCCAGGAGAACGAAGTCTATCTTCATCTATGTCCTCTTCCCAGTATCCAGTCCTGTGCTGACTTGTGCCAGTCTAGTGTCTGCTTCTGAGTCCTGAGATTGCTTCACATGCTAAGAAATTCACCTTTTCCACAGCAATCCCTGGAGACAGAATGTTCTATTCCGACTGGAATATTTTGGGGGGATTCCATATTCCTTTCACCCAGTTTCACAGAAGGCTCCTGGGCATCTTTCCCCAAAACTGTAACAAACTGAGCAATAGCCACAGGAGACCCTCCTTCGAGAAATTAGTTCATACCAGCTTTACGACGCAAAGTCAATTCAACACATGAAAATTTATTCTAAGTTGTATCTTAACATACGAGATCTCAGCTTTAGATGAATTTTAATGTTTACAAGTGCAAAAGCAAATAAATATTTACCAGCTGCCTTTTTTTTAAAAAAGAAAAAAAAGAAAAAAAAAATCTTCCACAACAGCTTAGATGCAAAAAAAAAAAAAAAAATTGTTGCTAAACATCTTGTAGTCTGGCAAAATGAAGAATTCCTTATTAAGAAAACCCTTGACAACAATAACAACCCCACAGTGCTTCAGAGTTTCCCAGTAGAGGAGATCAGGGCAGCTCATTAAGGTCAGAGTGTGCTACTGGTATGGGGTAAGGAAGATTTCAAAAAGTGAGACCATACCAGCCCCGCCCTGCTTTTGTCAATTAGCCAATGGAAGCTCTGGGAGACAGGGCCACATTCCTTAGGGCTATACCTGTTCTCTCCGGACAGGAGCCATTCATTCCTCCAGAATGGCTCTCTTGAATGAAGTCCTGGCCTCCCCATTATTGTCTTGGACATCATTCTCTCATTCCCCGTATCATCGTTTCATAATTAAAGAAAACTTTTTAGAGTGAAGGCGGCTCAATGTGGTAGGGCACATCTGTAATCCCCACAACTCAAGAGGTGGAGATTGGGAGCATGGGGTTCAAGTCTCACTAGGGAAAAGAAGTTATGGAGACCAGTCTCAACCAACAAGTTTGTGCATGGTGCTCCATGTCTGTTGTCACAATGATCCTGGGGGTGTAGTTAGGAGGAGTGTGGTCCGAGGCCAGCCCTAGGGCAAAATAGATCTTCTTCTAAAACTAGCTGAAGTGAAAAGGGCTGGAGGCCCAGTTCAGGTGGTAGGTAGGGGCTCTGAATTCAAACCAGTGCTTCCAACCAACAGTATCCTTCCCCCCATCCCTCCCCCCCCCAAATCCCAAAAGCTTATGTTAGCTTTCTAGTTTACCAGATAACTGGTATTAAAGTAGCTTGCTCTCCAATGCCCCAGCTACCTAACTCCCTGGTAGGCCCTTGGGACAGCTGTGGCCAGTTATCTGCGTCTTCCCCTTTACCGAAAGAGGCAGTACCAGGCTGCCAGGTAGAACATCCAGTCCAAGGCCTAGAACAAAACCCAAGCCACTGGGTGGACACTGATGGCTCACTCCTATAATCCTTGCTACTCAGGAGGCTGAGATCTGAGGATCACAATTTGAAGCCAGCCAGGAAAGAAAAGTCCCTCAGATTCGTTATCTCCAAGGAAGCAGCCAAGAGCTAGAAATGGAGCTATGGCTCAAGTGGCAGAGTGCCAGCCTTGAGCAAAAATACTAAAGGACCAGCCCCGGGATCAGCATGCACAAAAACAACCACCAATCCACGCTAAACCAGGTGTGTGCAATAAATGACAAAAGCCTCTTCAGGAGTAAACTACTCAGGACTGATGCCCTCCGGACTCATTTTTATTATTGCTAGGTGAAGACTTTGGAATTATTCTGATCTTAGGGCAAGAGATTAGCCAGTAGGTCACTAAGATAACATCGGGAGACGTGTGGTCTGTTGGTTCTTGTTAGGATAAAAATCTGGAGACACTGCAGTATAGACAAACACATCCACCAGCCCTGGTTACATCCAGGATATACAATCCAAGAATGAGCGACCCACCTGCCCCCAACAGAGGCCTGATAAGGTACCCCTCACATAGCAAGCCAGGACTCACCTGGATTGACAGTGATAAACTTGCTATCCTCAGAGAATCTGTCCCCTCGGGACGCGGGTCTTCTAGATGGCACGTTGGGGTCACTCCTGGGGTCACTCCCTGTAGACTCTTCCTCTGTGGCTGTGGGAGGCACGTGGGTGGAAGGGACCTCATCCGAGTCCAGGCCTGGGGTGGTGTTCCTCGCTTCTCCGGGCTGCAGGGTGGGGGTGGCTGGGTGCTCCAGCCTGCGCCCCGGTATAGTCTGATGACCGTCCTCCTGGGCAGTCCTGTTGGGGGCGGAGGGGGCCGGGGTGGGCGCTGTCTGGTTGGGCTGCCCGGCAGCGTGGCTCACCCTGCCGCTCTTCTCCTTCTTCTCGGAGTCCTTCTCCCCCTCCTCCTCGTGCTCCCGCTCCCCGTCCTCACTCTCGCTCTTCTCGTCCTTCTCTCCTTCCTCTGTGCCCTCGCTGTCCTTGGCGGGGGCTGAATCTCCATCGGGACCCGACGAGGCCAAGGCCTCGGTGGTGGCCAGGACCGGCCTCCCCGCCTGCTTGGTGGCCGCGGGGGCCGTGGGGAGACGCGTAGGCCACACGGTACTGGGGAAGGAGGAGATGCCGCCCCCACCGAACCCCAGGCCGGCCAGGAGGGTGCTGGTGACCACAGAGGCCACGGTGGCTTGGCTGCCGCTGGAGGAGGGGCCCATGCCTGTTGCCATGGAAACGAAGGAGAAAGGGATGCCCGAGGATGTCCAAGTAGATGACCCGGAGCTGATGGGGGCCATGTCGGCCGAAGAGGCAGGAGACGCCGTGGGCTGTAAGGTGAGCAGAGGGAGGAGAAGAGGCAGAAGGAGACAGCACACAGTGGTGATCAGTAATTTCCTAAGATGTCCTGCTTTGGAAAACCTCAGACTTTTCTTCCTCCATCCTGTGAGGGTGCTGAACAGAGCCTGGGAAGCTGACCATGGCTGGTCCACGATGAGCAACTTTCCTGCTAATGGTTCTTTTAGAATTCCTCTAGATGTGTACTAAGAATTGTACCAGGGCCTCCAACACTAGCCTTTCACGGATACTGCTTGGGATGATCCAAGTGGCAAAAAGTAAGTAGCATTACATTTGGCTCAAAGTACTAAATCAGCAACATCAGCTAGCCTACTATTCTTGGGGGGTAATGATGAGAAGCCAGGGACCCCAACTTTTATGGCAACCAAAAGAACTGCTGGTGAGTAACTAGCTCTGAAGTCTGGGATTGATTCAACCCTTACCACCTGCATGGAGATGGACAGTGGCCAGCCCAGCTCTGCAGCGGCCAAGTGAGAAGCAGGAGCCACACTATGCACAAGCTCTGGTAACTAGCTTCCATCCGGCACTTTTCTCCAGCCACTGTGTCTTTCAGAGTCTCAAGTTTATCCAGAGCAAAGTCTGTGCCATTGCAGATGATCAACAATACTCACAGCAGTCCTGCCTAACACAAGTGTGCTGGAACTTTCCCTGCTATCCTGGAGGCAGGCATGATCATCACCATTTTACAGGAGAGGAAACTAAGGCTCAGCAGTGGTAGGGGTTAGGAAGGTGTAGAGGCAGAGCTACTGGCGGCCTCCTTCCGCCCACCATTTCAAACCAGGGCCCAACAAGTTTCCTGGGTCAGTCTTAAGAAATGTTGTTCTTTGGGCTGGGAAGGTGGCTCAGTGGTAGAGCGCTTGCCTTGTATGCCTGAGGCCCTGGGTTCCATTCCTCAGCACCACATAAGCAAAAAGAAAAAAGCCGGAAGTGGCGCTGTGGCTCAAGTGGTAGAGCGCTAGCCTTGAGCTGAAGAACTTAGGGACAGCGCCCAGACCCAGAGTTCAGGCCCCACGACCAGACCCTCTCCCCCCCCAAAAAAAGAAATGTTGTTCTTTATTTTGATTTTTTCTGTGTCCTACTGGGGCTTGAACTCAGGGCCTTTGCACTGTCCTTTAGCTTTTCCATTCAAGGCTGGTACTCTACACCACTTGAGCCACAGCTTCACTTCTGGCTTTTTTCCTGGTCAACTAGAGATAAGAATCTCTTGAATTTGTTTTTGTGGGCTGGCTGACCCTCAGATCTCAGTTTCCTAAGAAGCTAGGATTACAGATGTGAGCCACTGGGACCCAGGAACAAGTGTTATTCTGACAAGTTCTTATAGACTAGTCTATAGATCTAAGATTCCATCTTTTATACCATTTAAAACAATCACCCAAATAATTTAGGGATTGCAACTTCATCACCAAATTTTACATGGAAGGCTTTGTAGCTTAAAGATGTTCGTGTAGGCCAAGTTGAATTCTGAAACCGGTTAGTGAAAATCAAATGCCCAATATAATTAAGTTACATGGTATAAACAAGGCAGACAGCCTAGGCTTGAACTTGCAATTAGGCTGATACTGGACACTTTGGTTTTCTCATGTGGCCAATGGGAATAACAGTACCACCAATTCTGTGGGTTATTTAAAGAAAGAAATGAAATAGTCTGTCTAAAGACTTCAAAGTGCTTAATGAGTTTTAGGCTACTGTTATTACCATCTATACTAGGATTAATATTATGATCAGTACCTGCACTAGGACAGAGAAAACTGACATTTGAGTCCAGGATCCAGAAATTGGAAAATCATGGAACTTTTGGGTAGGTGAAAATCTGGATTTTGGCTTATGCCAAAAGGAAAGTTTGGATTACTTTTGTGTTCTTGTACTCTTTGATCCCAGAGTTCATAAATAAATAAAAACTCAGGAGATTTTAATTTTCACATAATACAATGTAGGCCTTTAATACTGTTGCAGAGCTTGCTTCACTAATGAATTATAGAGTGAATAATGTTTTCTCCATTTTAATCTCCACATTGAGCAGTTCAACAACATTTTACTGCCACCTCATGGTAAGAATGTGAACTACATGCAAATGAACAACCAACTAGGACAAAGTTACCACATCCTTTTACTTACCACTCCTGTTTTCACAATCCTGGTCCCTTGGAATATCCGGGTGGTATTAGCTGAGAAATAAAGAAGATATAATGTGAACAAAATATCATTTTTTGGTTCCCCAAAAACCCCCTACTGACACAAATCTAAACTACAGACAATTTTCATGTAACAGAATATTAGTCTTTTGTTATTTTTCCTTCAACCACGTCAGAGTATAAAATCCTTAGCCTGAGCCGGGCACCTGTGGCTCATGCCTGTAATCCTAGCTACTCAGGAGGCTGAGATCTGAAGATTGCGGTTAAAGCCAGCGAGGGCAGGAAAGTCTGTGAAACTCTTATCTCCAATTAACCACTAGAAAACCGGAAGTGGTGCTGTAGCTCAAGTGGTAAAGCGCTTGCCATGAGCTGAAGAGCTCAGGGATAGGGCCCAGGCCCAGAGTTCAAGCCCCATGACCGACAAAAAATAAAAATAAAGATCCTTAGCCTGTGAGTCATGCTAAAACATGAGCGCAGGACACAGTGGATATGTAAATCTGTAGTTTGCTGTCTCCTGTCTTAAGGTACTAATGTAAAAGACTTTCAAGTTTTAGTTTTCTCTTTCATTGAGATACATTATATATAATGTTATATATAATGCACAGGATTTAAGTGTGCAGTTTATTTTTAAGGTTTCATGAATAATTTCTTCCATTTGATGTTTTGTTTTCATTTTTTAAAGTATAAACCTTTTCATTCCCTCAGTCACAATTTTACAGTACAGTGTTATGGCATTCAGCAGCAATAGTGTTTGATCCTTATTCTTTTTTGTCACATTAAAGAGAAAAGCAATTGGACCATTTTAAATGTCACTGCTAAACAACAACTTTAAAAGGCCCTTTCATAAAGTGATCAAGCCACTTGGAGAGGGTTGTTGCTGACACGTCCAGTAATGACTACTGTTACAATCTTCAGTTTAAATTCAGTAACTTCAAGGTCCACAAATCTAGATTGCTTTGAAAACAAAATCTATTTTGAAACCCCATGAGTATAAAACCTGACAGTTTAATTATTTTTTACATGTGTAAATGCCTACATAACCGCCACCCACTTTAAGATATAGACACGATGTCTATATACATTGATAGAGAGAGAGAGGCCGTGGGACCACTGTCAGGGTTTTGTCTGTTTTGAACTTTATTTGATGGAAATTGTATCAACCCATTGTTCCTTCTGCATTATCCTTTTATGAATCATCACTTCAATTAATCTTTTAGCAAGTCTAGTACACATCTTCAGCTTATTACACCCTGTAGCAGTTTACTACATCAGCATGGGGTTTGTTTGTTTTTCTTTATATCAGCCTCAGACATCTACCAAGGTAGTGATCACAGGATTCGCAGGACTCCTCACCTCAAGTGGTTAACTTACCATCAGAGGATCTAAGGGAATGCAGAGACAAGGCACCTGATTCTAGCTAAGCACTCCTTCCAGGATGAACACAGGCATCAACCTCAACTCCTTCTGCAGATCTGATGACTATTTTGGCTCAACACTGACTTGGACATCCCAGCGGCCAATGGACAAATCTTTTGTCACTGGATGCTTTGATGCAGTTAGTTCATAGACTATCTTCCTAGTTTGTCTAAAATGTTTTAACAGCAGTGTTTGACTATAAATTGAATCTGAATCTGAAATGATCTCCTAAGCAATCTGCTTGTTTATTCAAAGCCTTTGGGAAGAACGATCTGTGGGCTTTGTTAGGCTACCCAATGGGTCGTAGGCTCAAAGAAAATGGTAGAAAACCTCTACTTTTTTTTTTTTGGTTGGTTGTGGGGCTTGATCTCTGGGCTTGGGCACTGTCCCTCAGCTCTTCAACTCAAGGCTAGTGCTCTACCGCTTGAACCACAGTGCCACTTCAGGTTTTCTAGTGGTTTATTGGAGATAAAAGTCTCATGGACTTTCCTGCCTGGGCTGGCTTTGAACCGTGATCCTCAGATCTCAGCCTCCTGAGTTAGGATTACAGGCATGAGTCACCGGCACCCGGCTGAAAACCTCCACTTTCTAGGATAACCAAGAAGAGCAAAATATTTCATTGGAAGAGCTGCCAGTCTTTTTATCATTTCCTCGAAAACAGAGTACTGAGTAATACTTAACTCTCTGCTGTGTAGAAATGATTGCATCTTAGAATAAGTACACTGGACACTGCTAGGTGCCACTAGGTCGGGCCTATAATCCTGGCTACTTGGGAGACTAAGATCTGAGGATCCCAATTTGAAGCTAGCCTGGGGAAAAATAAATAAATCCAAGACACTCTTATGATTAACAAGCAAACAAATCTAGAACTGGAGGTATGGATCAAATGGTAAAATACCAGCCTTGAGTACAAAAAGGTATGCAAGAATAAGGCAGGCCCTGAGTTCAATCCGTAGTACTTGTATGTGAATGCACGAATACACACAAAACAGAACCAAACCAAACCCCTGAACTCTATTTACTTAATAGCTAAGAGCGTTTTCTCCAACTACTTGTGCCTTAAACTACAGTCCTATTTGTGAAATAACACCTATAGTATAAGCTACCATCTGTAAGGTTCAAGACAATGAATATGACCATTTTTTGCAACCATCACATCACAATTATTGCTCACTATGACTACAACTAAAAGCACAGTGAGGTAAATAAGATTTCTCACTATCTTATATACAATATAAATATCGCTGTATTTCCTGCAATAGAGAAAATTTGCCATGTGGCTTTCTCTTGCACCCAAATTGAACGTAAATCTATTATTAAAAAAACTCAGCTAGGTGCTGGTAGCTCACACCTGTAATCCCAGCTACTCAAGAGCCTGAGATCTGAGGATCACAGTTCAAGGCCAGCCTGGGCAGGCATGTCCATGAGACTCTTATCTCCAATTATCTATCAGAAAACCAGAAGTGGTGCTGTGGCACAAGTGATAGAGAACTCACCTTGACCTGAAGAACTAGAGACAGCACCTGGGCTCAGCTTCAAAACCCACAACCAACCACCACCACCACCACCACCAACAAAACTTATTATTGTGAACAAAGCTGCTGTGCAGCTTGAAATTCAAGTTCTAACAGTTGGTAAATCTGGGGCCCAGTGTTGGTGGTTACGTTTGCAATTCTAGCTACTTAGGAGGCTGAGACCTGAGGATCATGGTTCAAAGTTAACCTGGGCAGGAAAGTCCATGAGAGTCTCCAATTAAAACTGGAAATGGTGCTGTGGCTCAAAATGGTAGAGCTCTAGCCTTGAGCAGAAAAACTTAGGGGCAGTGCCCACACTTGGAGTTCAAGCCCCATGACCAAAAAAAAATAATAAAAAAAATCAACATTGGCTTGTCTGGCTCATAAGCACCAATCTGGTTCAGTAGGAAAGGGCCAATCGCTGGCTTCAGGTGTGTACAGTACTTGGGTAGATACAGGGAAATGGGAGTCCAGTGTGGGGCCGGGTGGAGAAAGGCTACTGCCCCTGGTTCAACACTGATGCACACCAGGATACAAAATGAGCCAATGTGTGTGTCCACCTTGGACCAAAGAAACAGGCAGACACCTGGAGACACTGGCCATATCCAACAAGTCTCCGTGACCAAACATTTAAAGTACTCCCTGCTATAAATTTATAGCTGACAGGGCCTTTTTAAATTGCATTATATTATAAACATTGAATTTTTCAAAGTCTATGCAGAAGCCAGGCAGCTCAGGGGCTATTAATCAGGAGAGGCAGTTCTGCAGATCCCAGACTCTTGGTCAGCGCTCAGAGGAGGCCTAATCATGATTTATGACTCCAAAGTGCCCAGGCCCGGCCTCAGTAAGCTCCCAGTCTGGCCATCTCTTCTCTTTCTCCTTGGCAGTCTCACAGCTGACCTTGGCCTGTGGTCCTAACTCAATATACCTTCAAGATTATGGATAGTCATAGGGAACAAGTTTTTTTTTTATGGGAAAAAAAACCCCACTAATCTCAATTCGTTGCTTAAAAAAAAGGATGTGATCAATAGTAAAGAATACCTAAATGAGATACCTAAAAATTTCCAACTCTTGGAAGAAATCTAGGCTAGAGGACTTCTTACCCAGGGTTTATCAATTTTATATCAGTCCTAGGACAATCTGAAGATGTCACAGCTGAAACCTGATGATGACTCTCATGACTGTCAGATGGCTTAGGACTCTGGAGCCCTCCTGGACTTCAAAAATTTGACTCAGGGATGCTGAACTAAAGTTGAGGCAAATAATCTGAATCCTGAAAAGCTCCTAATGTGAAACACTCTTTGGGCTCCACAAGTCGCAGATAAGGAAAACGCAGGCGTGAAGACAGAGCCAGGAATTAGTACTGTGCCCATGTCTCCATCGCCTCGTGTTATTCCTCAGGGATCTGGTCTTGTTGGTGCTGTTGATACCACTTTTGGGGTTGGCCAACTACAGCTTCGAGAAGGGAAAACGTGATCTCAGATGGCACAGCTGCCAAAAGGTAGCCAGGACTGATTTCCCCAAGGCTGAGAGCCCAGCTCGAACCTTGCATCTTTCAGCCCACGAATGCACCTGCCAGTCACCAGGGTCATCTGGCCAGAGCTTAGAATCCTGGGCCCATACTGCAGGGGTTCTGAGAGGGTTCTCCCAGACATTGCGGAGGCTGGAGTCTTGCCCACTCCCCACTCCATCTCCTGCCCTCCTCACAGGATTTACAGGAGTGCTGCATTTATGTGCAACTTCCTGTCATCTTCTAGCAAAATAATCTACCAACTGCATCAGATCCATGACTCAAAACAGGAAAACACCTTTGGCCTAGTAAGCAGGTGTCTCACCTTACAGCTGGGACAGCTGAGGCCCTGGGAAGGAAAGACTCTAATCAGAGAAAGCCTCAGAGCGCTGAGAAAAGCCTTGTAATCTAGGCCAAGCTGGTGCTGGGGTCTAACGTTAAACCACTGTGGCCAAGAGGGGCAGGGCCAGAACTGGCTGCCTATTTCTAGAAAGAATACCGAAATTACTGAAAATTCTGATGTTTTATTCATGAAATCTTGCACTGATTTTGCGTTAAAAAGTATTCCATGACAATGTTACATCTTTTGATGGATTATTATTAGGATTTTCCGGGATACTTTTAAAAAGTTTTGTGCCAAGGTGAAGTCCCACTGGTTTCACCCTACATCTGACCCCCAGAATATTCTAGTAGTTCTTTGCTGTCAGGCTCATGCATCTTGATTCCAGGAATCTCAGGGATCTGGCCCACAGCGGCCTGGCCGTCTGGTCAGATAGGTGAGCTGCCTCTATTTTGGGCTCCAGTTCTGGAGAGAACTGAATTGTGCTGAGCATTTGAAGAGAAATCCATGGATTTCCACATCAAATACTGCGGTAACACGACTTACAGGTGAATTCATCTGACACCACCCTAGACCCCTGGTCAGGTTAAGGAACTTGAACCTGATTCCCTACCGTTGGAAAAGAACAATAAAGCCAATAATAATAATAAAAAATTAGCTGGGCTTTGTACTCTGGCCTATGAAATCTCCAACTATAAATATAGATCTGAATGACTGGGGTCTCCTTGGTCTGGTTTCAACCCCTAACCTAATCAGTAAGTCATCTGTGTTTTCTTTGGTCCAAGCCCCAGAAGAGGAAAAAGACAAAAGCACGAGGATGGAGATGGCTCAGAGTGGCCCAGGTGGGAAGAAAAGAGAGGCCGGCCTCACCTTGGAAGAGCATGGTCTGGCTGAAGTCACTGCGCATGTCATTTCGACACACAGCCTGGACTCGGAACAGGTAAAGGCTATCGGGTGAGACATGGCTGATGGTGGCTTTCTGTAGGGAAGACAGAGAGGGCAGTGAGGTGGTTTTCATCGAAGTCAAGGCACACAGAGCAATCTAAAACAAACCTGGGTAGCTCAGGGAAGGCGGGAACCTTCTGTCTACCAAAGGACATTTACATATTTGTAAAACCCGTCAAGGGCCACACAAAATGATCCATACAAGCAGACTGTATCGGGCAGCTGAGGGGAAGCACAGGCGTCTGTTCTGTATTGTACCAAATGATTTCTCTGCTCTTACACTGCTCATGGGCCAGAGCTTCTCCACCCCTGAGGGCTTTCTTTGGAATACAGACTGCTCATAAGGGACCTGGTCTGGGAAGAGAAAGAAGCACATTATTCTTCACTGTGTCTTAGAACCTGCTTCCAGCTCCCTTTAAAGCATGTCTGTCATAATTGATAGCTGCTATACCTAATAAGCTGTATATACATATAGCTTATATCTATATACATATGTGACATGTTATATATACATAGAACATATTTTATATATAACACATAACATGATATACTATAATGTATATTAATTATAATATATTAATATGTTATATGTAATGTTATGTTATATATTACTGCATATATGTGTGTGTGTGTGTGTGTGTGCGTGTGTATCTGTGTGTCTGTGTGTGCTACTACACAACACATTAGTGATAGTCCCAGGACCAGGGCTCTGTCCCTAAGTTTTGTTTTTTATTTATTCAACACTAATGTGCTACCAAGTGAACCACAACTCCACTCCTGATATTTTTGGTGGTTAACTGGAAATAAGAGTCTTACAGACTTTGCCAGCCCAGACCCAGTTTGAACCAGGATCTTCAGATCTTAGTCTCCGAAGTTGCAAGGATTATAGCTGTGAGCCATCGGCACCTGGATAAGCTACAAAATTTTTCAGACAGGCCTGGGCACTGTCAGCTCTTCAGCTCAAGGCCAGCACTCTACCACTTAAGCCACAGCGCCACCTCTGGTTTTCTGGTGATTTATTGGAGATAAGAGTCTCATGGACTTTCCTGCATGGGCTGGCTTTGAACTGTGATCCTCAGATCTCAGCCTCCTGAGTAGCTAGGATCACAGGCACAAGCCACACTGATGCCTGGCTGAGACAGGATTTTGTTTTACTACATAGCTGAGGCTCACCTCAGACTTGCAATCCTCTTGTCTTAGCTTCCTTAGCATGCCCAGCTAAGTATGGATTCTAGATAATACCTACAATTATCAGATAAATAATCTCTAGTGCCTCACAGACTTTAGGACATCAAAAAGAATTTGATTGTGTGTCTGTCTCTTTCCAGCTTAAAGGCCTGCCTTGTTGTATCCTGACTATGTATATCAGAGGACAGGCAGCAAGAACACTAGGCCAGAGGTCATGAAGATTCACCCTGTCACTGCTCTCTGGAGCCATGTGAACCTCACTCAGCTGCTCAATAGCTTCCAGCCTCAACTGTGTGGTGGGGGTAGGACTAACCACCCCATGGGCTCTGGTGAGACCTGTGACCAGGCCAAGAAAACCTGGCTTATAAGTAGAACACAGTGAGCACAAGAAGCAATGCTACAGGTGTTCTGCAGGAAGATCAGCAAGCTACAGCCTGTGAGGCCAGATCTGGCTCACCATCTGCTTTATAAATAAAATATTATGGGCACACAGTCCCAGCCACTCATGGATATACCATGTAGGGTTCTTTTTACTCTATACCGGCAGAGTTGTATAGTTAAAACAGAGGCTGTGTTGCCTGTAAAACATAAACTAGTTACTATCTGGCCCTTTATAGAAAAATATTTGCTAACCTCTGATCAAACATCACCAGACAAATCTGGGTCACTCTTCTTCACTGTTTTTTCCAATAGCTTTTAAAAGTAAGGGAATGTGACAGGCACTGGTAATGCCTGTCATCTTAGTTACTCAGGAGGCTGAGTTCTAAAGATCACAGTTCAAAGCCAGACTGTACAGGACAGTGTAAGAGTCTTATCTCCAAGGAATCAGCAAAAAGTAAGAAGTGGAGGTGTGGCTCAAGTGGTAGAGTGCTGGCCTTTAGGTGAAAAATCCAACCAAGACAGTGAATGCCTGAATTCAAGTCTCAGTTACCCCAAACCAAAATAAAAATAAAAATAACATATACCTAAATGCAGCTAGTACTTGCTTCTCAAAGAAGACAACAAAACAGACCCTGATTTCTAGAGGGTCCCAGAGGTAAGAGGTCTTGTCATGGAATTGTGCACTCTGGGTCGTATATAGAAAGAAAGCTGTATGGGCTGGGCAATGGTGGCTCACACCTATAATCCTAGCTACTCAGGAGGCTGAGATCTGAGGACAGTAGTTCGAAGCCAGCCCAGGCAGAAAAGTCCCGATGAGACTCTTAATTCCAATTAACCACTCAAATACTAGAAGTGGTGCTGTGGCTCAAGTGATAGAGTGCTAGCTTTGAGCACAAAGAGGCTCAGGGATGGTGCCCAGGCCCCAAGTTCAAACTGTACAGGAATACTAGGTTAGGCTCATGGCATTTTAACAATTGGTCTTGTTTAAAGGGAGCAGTTATATCTGTCTCACATGTGAGTGGTAAGGAAGTAGGTATCTGCATCCCTCCATCAGTACATAATAACGGAAGTTAGAGAAATGTGTTGTTACACTAAGTCAGCAGTCTTGACATGCTGAGGAATTAAGAATATTAATTTCGTGTGTCCTAAAAGAAGAAAAAAAAACCACTCTAGAATTCCTTATGAAACAGAACTTGCTATCAAAGCACATTTTTCTGTGTATCTCTCGATCTTTCTCTAAAACTAATTTGTGCCTCATTTTCTAAACCTCTGACCCTCCCCCTCCTCTTATTCTATTCCAAGCAAAATCTTCCCTTTATCTGTACAGAGATTTATTAGAATTCACTTCCAGCCAGTTTCTACTCATCTCCGCGGGTTGAATTATTTTCCAATTAGAACAAGAAACCAAGTAGGTGCCTAGGTAAGTTTTCACTGATGAATGCGTGAGTTCAGCCAGGACCAACCCCCTTTCCTGACTTTCTATGGTGGCAAAAGCAAGGTTAGAATTCGGTATCACCTTGGGTGTCTCCCAGTGGATTACTCTCTGAGTTCACAAAGCCTGTCACTTCTCTAATGTGACCCAGATAACAATGTCTAGCAGGGAAATTGAAAATCTAAATGGAAACGAAGTCAAAGAATGTTCACCTGAAGGAATATGAAAAGCATTATTGTATCACTGATTGAATGGGCCCGGAAGGACTCTGTATTGGGAGAAGAGGGGAAAAAAAATGGGAACAGCCATTAAGAATCCCCCTCAGTGTCACTTCAGTTTTCACCTGCATAGACAATTGTAGGTTTTCGTTATTCTGAAGACTTCCTTTGATTAACAATAAGCACAGCTAGGCTTTCCAACCCAGCGTGTCTGTCACCCGGAGTTTCTCTTGGCAAAGACTGGGACATGAGCGAAGATTTGGGAGATGAGGGAGTGTTGGAGGGTTTGCTGGGAGAGGAAAAGATGGCTTCTACCATCAACTGCTCTGAAAGGCTGTGGTTGGTGGGCATCAGAGGCTCAACGTTTATGTAACTGTGAAGAGCAGAAGTTGAACAGGGCTTGTTTCCTTCAAAATAAGGACAGACACAACAACATCTAAGAGCTGGAGAACAGAGGTAGAACAAATCGGCCTGGCCACGGGGTTCCACAGCAGGTAATAGGAATGTGTCAGGTCACAAGAAGTGGAGGGAACTCGGGACAGGGACAGTGGGGTGGTGGGGACGATAAAAAGATGGTGACAGAGGTAGCACAAGTGTAATCAGAAGAGTATTCATATAAGCTGGGTGGCTGGTGCCTCACACCTGTAATCCTAGCTACTCAGGGAGATGAGGTCTAAGAATCCTGGTTTGTTTTTCTGTTTTTCTTTTTTGTTCCTCCCCTTTTGTCACTGTTTTTGATTTCTGTACTTTTTGTCTTGTTTGTAAGTATATTTGTTCTGGGGAGGGGAAAGGGAAGCCCAGAATTAGTGGAAGAGAGGGTGAACTAATGCAGCAGAGATACTCACTGGACTCTGTTGAAAATGAACTATATTACCTGGAGTAGGAGGGAAACAACTGGGAGGAAAATGAGGGAAGAGGTGACACTGTTCAAATGAAATGTATTCATTACCTGACCTATGTAACTGTATCCCCTCTGTACATCACCTTTACAATAAATATAAATTAAAACAAAACAACAACAAAAAGCACTCCTAGTTTGAAGCCTTCTCAGACGGGAAAGTCCATGAGACTCTTACCTTCAATTAGAGCTGTGACTCAAGCGGTAGGGCATGTCTTGAATGAAAAAACTAAGATGTAGTGCCTAGGCTCTGAGTTCAAGCCCAAGGACTTTCACAAACACACATATCAAGAGTATTCATAGAAGCAGGGAGTTGGTAGCTCACACCTGTAATCTTGGCTACTCAGGAGGCTGAGAGCTGAGGATTTCAGCTCAAAGCCAGCCAAGGCAAGAAAGTCCCCAAGAGACTCTTACCTCCAATTAACCACTCAAAAAACCAGAAGTGGAGCTGTAGCTCAAACTGGTAGAGCACTAGCCTTGAGCAGAAGAGCTCAGGGACAGTGCCCAGACCCTGAGTGCAAGCCCCACAACCAACAAGAACAACAAAAAAAGTATTCATATAGCGCCTGCTAGGGATCAAGACCCATGGTATACTTGTGTAATACGTTTAGCATACACAATAATCAGATGTGATGACAAGGGTAGAGTGGAGGCACTCTGGATGTTAGTTGTGAATACTGGTACAAGGAAACAGAACCACAGCAGTTCCTGCTCCACCACTGCTAAGTGTAAAGTCAGGATGAGGCAGGCAGTGAAGGAGGCCAGGGAGACACAGGGTCTGGCAAAGGGGACTAGTTCCAGAAGAGCACTGGAACCGCAAGAGGATGCACTTGGAACGGGGCAGGGTAGGAGCTTACCAAGTCTTTGTCACTGTCCTTGGTGAATGTCTTCTCCTTCTCGTCCTCATTCTTGGTCCAACTGTAGGAGACCATGTAGTTCATGATGGGCGGGTGGTAGATAGTCTCAGGCTGGCTCCAGGACACCTGCAGTACTGTCTGGTTCAGAGGCTGTACCTTCATGTGGATGGGCGGAGAGCTGCAGACTAAAGACACACATAGCCAAGCTCAGGGGGGGAAAGGGGGGTTTCCGGCCCAAGCCATCTTTCCCACATCAGCCTTGACGAGTTGAAATGGCCACATGGGAAACCTATACCCCTGCCAGCCAAGCCCCGCTACCATCAATATTTACCACGTGGGTGTCCCTCCCTCTTTACCATTTAGGCATGGCCATGTACACAGGGAAGCCACTGGACACCAAGTGTGGTCGTTATCTCAACCCTAAATACTCTGGCCTGCACCTGTTAAGAATGAGGACATTCTCATAGCATGCTCATGCCTGTAATCCTGGCAACTCAAGAGGCTGACAAGCAGTGAATGGATGCTTTAAGTCAACCCAGGTAGAAAAGTCTGTATAACTCCATTTCAAATTAACCAGCCAAAAGCCAGACTGCAGGTGTGGCTCAAGTGGCAGAGCATCAACTGAACAAGTGTGAGAAGACCCTGAGTACTAACACCAATACTGCCAACAAAACCCCTGGAAGAGGAAAGCCATTCTTCCTTACAATCACCACATCTGTGTCATACCTAAGAAATTAAATGTTGATTCAATAGTATTGTTTTAGAAATTGCTTTCATTAACATATATTAACTGCATCAAGTGAACAGTTTCACTGGGCTATTTGCATATAATGAATTTCATAATATTATTTGATACACAATCCATATTCAATTGTTCTCATTTCTTAAAAATCACCCTGAGCTGTCACCCTCCTCCTCTCCCACACTTTAGTAGCTCCCCCCCTTTCAAGTCATATGGACTTTTTCCCCCATGACAGAGACTTTTTTGGGAGGTTGGGGAGTAGAACAGTCTTGAGGCCTGAACTCAGGGCCTGGGCACTGTCCCTGAGCTCTACCACTTGAGCCACAGCTCCACTTTTGGTTTTCTGGTGGTTAATTTGAGGTAAAGTCTCACAGACTTTCCTGCCCAGGCTGGCTTTGAACTGTGATTCTCAGATCTCAGCCTCTTGAATACAAGCGTGAGCTATCAGCACCTGGCTTACGACAAAGACTTTTTGAAGAAGCCATCCATTTGAACTTGTAGAGTGTCCCAACGAATTTCCCACAGGTGAAATTTTATGGTGGATATCTCAGAGTATAAATAAGTACAATTTATTGCAAGACTTTACGTCATTTTAAAGGAAAGACACACAGAGAAAAATAATGGCTTTGTCTGGAGCAGCAGAACACGGTGCGATCATACTGCAGTGGGTTACACCCAGAGGTCAGCTAGTGCATCTTTTTATCCCTGTGCTGGGTGTGTGTGTGTGTGTTAGGGGACACAGTGCATCTGCACCTGTGTGCGCACAAACCCACTTTAGTGTTGAGAGTTTTAAGTCTGACTTTAGATTTGTGGAACAGGGTTTCTCAGCCTGGACACTCCTGGTTCAGGCAAACAATTCTTTGCTCTTGGGGACTGTGTGTCTTAGATGACAGCTGCCAAAGATGTCTGCAGATATCAGAAAATGTCTCCTCCCGGGCCGATGAGAACCACTGGTCTAAAACAAAGAGATTCATAAGAATGAATCACCCATTCAGAGCGGATACAGACTTTGGGGATGGGATGATGGTAGGCTGGGAGGAGAGGCACATGATAGCTTGGAAGCATTTGAGAAGTGGACTGGACTCGGCCTGTGGGCCCAGGGGGAGATGTATGAAGTAGTTGGGATGTTGTCAGGGAAGAAGAGACCATAGGAGCAGAGTCTGAGAGTAATGAAAGGAGACAGGGCAGAGGGTTTCACGGCACCCGGTGCAGCTGGGGCTGTAAAGGTCATAGGAACAGGATTTGAATTCTGATCTTTCTCCCGCAAGCCCTTGGCAGGTACTGAGAAGACCTGAGCCAGAAATGCCGATGTGAAGTTGTCATGGGAAGAGGATCACTGGTTGCAGGGAGTGTAGCAGGCTCTGGAGTAGGGGAGAGCTCCGCACAGTGGATGTCACCCATGACCTTGGCAGAGAAATGGCAGGCAGGTTTCAGAGCTGAAGGATGGAAAAGCTGAGAAGCCTAGATGTATGCCAGGTGAGGAGAGGAGAGGCGTAGAGTGTGGGTGGGTATGGGAGCAGGTGGGGGAGAGTGGGGGGTCAATGAGAATATGTAAGTTTGGAACATGGAGGTGGGTAGAGGGAGGGGTGTGTACCAAGTAGACAGGCTGAGGAACTGGGGATCGGTCCTGACCCAGGCACCTTCCAGGGCCCAAGTGTATGCAAGGTAGCCCATCATGAGCCAGACACCTCTATTTTCTACCCCAGATCCCCACAGGGAGAGGGCTGAGCCTGCCAGAAAAGCATGAGTTTTCGGGAGCAATTGCTCTTCAACTGCCAAACCATGGTTCAGTGGGAGAAGTGCTTTGCGTGGCTGAGACAAGAAGGGATAAATTAATGAAGCTTTCCCACTGCCCCGTAAAACCCCAGGAAGCAATATGCCGCCTGCCACACAAATGTCACTAGAGCTGGGATATCAAAGGAGACTTTGTCACAGAAGGGGGAAGTAATGTGGCATGGACACTAGGTGGCGCCAGGCTACTGCTTTTAAATAAAACCAATGTAGGAAGAAGTCTGTTTCTCCAGAAAGTCACAGATAAAGTGGGGGGGGGGGGGGGGGAATTGGCCAAAACGTACACCCCCATGTTTTCAAATACTAGCAGTCAATCAAGATTTGTATGTTTAGAAAATTCTGTAGCTCACAACCATGACCTGATTTCCGCATCTTCCCCTACCGCCTACGATGTTCTTATTTATCTTCCTTAGTGATGGACTACAAGGGAGTGTATCTCTCTCCAGTAATTACATCACAAGCACAGAAGTAATTCTATCACCCACAGACCAACGCATCCATTCTTATTTACTTAGCTATTTTATTTTTTCTTTTTCCAGTACTGGGGCTTGAACTCAGGGCCTTGATTTCTACTTGGCTTTCTCACTCCTGGCTAGCACTGTACCAACGTGAGCCATATTTAGGGTGTGTGTGTGTGTGTGTGTGTGTGTGTGTGTGTGTGTGTGTGTGTGTGTGTGTGCGTGCGCGCGCGTGCATGCATGCGTGCATGTGCAGGTTAACTGAGTAAGATTTGTCTGTCCAGGCTGGCCTCCGATGGTGATTCTCAGATCTCATCCTCCCAAATAAGTAGGATTACAGGCATGAGCCACGGGCATTTGGCATTTTGAAATGAAAATTGCTAGGTTTTTCTATGCACATCAAGATGATTTGGGTTAGTTCTTTTAAACCAAAAAGAAGAAAAGAATCTTGTCAGTGTAAACCACAAACAACCATGTCAAGCCAGGTGCCAGTGATTTCATACCTGTAGTCCTAGCTACTCAGGAGGCTGAGATCGGAAGATGGCGTCAAAGCCTAGCCCAGGCAGGAAAGCCTGTGAGACTCTGACCACGCATGCGCGCGCACATGCACACAAACTCGCATGCGCGCGTGCGCACACACACACACACACACACACACACACACACACACACACACACGCGCGCGCGCGCACACACACACACACACACACACACACACACACACACACACACACACAGGGAAAAATGTTCTGGGGATCCAACATATAGATATTCTCTTCATCCATATGTGAAAGTACATGCAAACCAGTCGAGGTAAGGTGTGGGATGTGTTAGCTAGGCACTGGTAGCTTATAATCCTAGCTACTAGGAAGCTGAGATCTGGAAGACCTCAGTTTGAGGCCAACCCAGGCAGAATAGTTTGCTGGACTTCATCTTCAAAATAACTTGCAAGAAGCTAGGTTAGAGATATGGCTCAAGTGGCAGAACACCAGACTAATAAGCACAAGGCGCTGAATTCAAACTCCAGTTCTGGGTTGGGATTGGAATGGAATGTATATAGCCTGCAATTTAATTTTTCTTTTAGTATTTTGCTCCACACATCATGGTTATATTTCCCCCTTGTAAAAGTGAATGGCACTATTGCTTTGAAACCAAGTATGGAATGCTTCTGTCTTGATGCATTAGAAAATACTGAGTTAGGCTGGGCACCAGTGATTCATACCTGTAATCTTAGCTACTCAGGAGGCTGAGATCTGAAGATCCTGGTTCAAAGCCAGCCCTGTAGGAATGTCCATGAAACTTTTAGCTCTAATTAACCACCAGAAAACCAGAAGTGGTGCTGTGGCTCAAAGTAGTAGAGCACAAGCCTTGAGCAAAAGAGCTCAGGGACAACACCCAGGCCCAGAGTTCAAGCCCCAAGACTGACAAAAATGAATATATACACTTAAAAAAAGGAAATACTGAGTTAAGCTGTTGTAGGACGACTCACTCTGCAGGTTCACTTTCCAGGAAGCAATTCTGTAATTAAAATGCCTGCTGCAGACCACACATCAGAAGCCATTCGTGAGAAGGAAATCTTATCTCTCTATTCCCCAGCCCGCCCCACACCTTCTTGACTAGTACGAGTGTTTCTGTGCACAGTGGTCCAGATTTGGAGGGTCTGGCTGGGAAACTTCGTCTGTCAAAGGACAGAGAGTAAGGGTTTCCAGCTGTGTGAGTACAAGGTCCTAACTCTGGAGCACAGTAAGTACACACAAACGAGCGTGGCTGTGCCAGAAAAGCTTGATTTATGGTCCCCACATTTCAGTTTCATTGGATTTTTCAGGTGTCACAAATTTCCTTTTGATCTTTCTCTACTGTTTAAGAACATTAACAACCACTGTCAGTTCCCATTATACAAAAGATGGCGGTGGGTGAGCTTTGGCCCCATGCATCAGTGGTTTGCTGATTCCAGACTTTGAAGATAAAGGGAGATCAAACTGTTATTTGGAACTGTGGTACCTACTGCATTTGTATTCTTTATAGCATCAGCAATTATGTTGCTGACTTCCCTGCTCACCTGGCCTTTCACGGTGAAGCTCAGGGGCTGGCACTTTCTATGTCTGGTTCAACACATTTGCCTGAAGTCTACAGCTGGCATGCAGCTGGCTCTCAGCACGTTCGGTGCATCATGGTTCACAGGTCTGTGTGGTGA